ATCAGCAGCTCTGCTTGATTTCCACTCCATGGAACATCAGGCTTCCTCCAGGATAAGCTGATCCCCTGAAATCTCACCACCATGCAGATTGACTCAGTTTTTTTTGATACTCATCACCTACTGGACTTTCTCAGTTAACTCGTCCCACAGCCCTCCATTATAGAGGGCTCAGAACTTTGCAGGTAACTCTCCATTTTCCATCAACAGTTCTATTTGGTTTCCATTATGTCCCTGATAGATAACCTCTGATGCCCCTTCTCCCTTATTTAGATTCCTTTGGTGTTATTCTTCACTAGATTATAAAATCCTTGATGCAGGGACTATCTTTCTCTTTCATATCTGTACTCCCATCACTTTGAGTAGTAGTTGCACAGTACCTTCACACAGTGCATAGTAGGTACTTAAATATTTGTTGAATTGAATTGAATATATGAAGTTGATTTTTTTTTTGGTGCCCAAGTATAGGACTTTATATTTTTCCTTTTAAAATTTCATATAATTAGATTCAGTCCAATGCTTTGGCCTGTCAAAATCTTTTTCAATCCTGACTCAGTCATCCAGTGTATTAGTTATCTTTCCAAGCTTTGTGCTATCTACAAATTTCATGAACTTTTAAAATTCAAGTCATTGATAAAAATGTTAAATAGCACTGGCCTATTTTTTTTTGTACCAGATTTTTGAGGCTCTGTACTGGAGATTTTCTGCCACATTAACATTGAACCTTTTATAACTATTCTTTGAGTCTCTTAAGTCTGAATTAATCTACTAATGTTGATCATTCTGTACCTCACTATCTTTTCCACAAGTATTATCAATTAGCCCACATGTCTTTATCTTCTCCCGTATAAGATCAGAGTATTATTTTTCCGCCTCCTAGTCTCACAAATGAGCACTGGACCTAGAGCAAGGCTACCTTTCCCACTCAGAGGTACCCACTTTAGGGGTACCCCTGAAGAGTTGGAAGTGATTCTCTAATGCCATCAGTTTGAATCCCCACCAGTGTAAAAAAGAATGGAAATGGATAACTCTTGTCTGTCAGCTCAAACCCAGATGAAATTATTCCTGCTCCTAGGCTCTTAGATGGCGTGTCTGTGGATTCCTGCCAAGATTATCAATTGAGGATCGTTCAAGTAGCTTTTAGAGAGGAGTACTTACTAAGGTGACACAGCAAGAATGATTGCAATGAAACATCCCAGGAAAAGGGTGACACATTCTTCCTCAAGTACAGATAGAGTCCAGGGGAAAGCAGACTGGCTTTTATTGCACATGTAGTAAAAGAGTAACTCACAGCTCCTGGTTGTTGGAAATCTTTTTTATTGGTGGGGTGCTCGAGAAGTGCTCTTTAGACATGTTGTAATTTTCTGGGCTCCTCATGGAGCCAAGGATTTACATCTGATCTGTCCCTGGCTCCTAATGAAGACATTTCAGTCAGCAGATCCAAGGATATTCTTAGGACACTGAAAGGAATATGGGAAGTGAAGCATCCTCAAAGACCAAAAGGTCCTTCTCTGGTCAAAGGGTCAAGGGTAAGAAGACTTAGGATGAGACGGAAGTGAAGGCCTCCTTCTTCCTTAACATCTCCTTCCCCACTGCCCAAGACACTTTCTCCTCAGGAATTTATAGAAAAGTTCTCTCATGGCTATCTACTTGCTTGGATTCCCTGATTATAGCTAACTCATTGCTTTTATACAAACCCCAGAGGGGATACTGAAATCACTCATTCAGTTGAAACAGACTTCTTGTCTGGCATAATTTCACTTTGTCTAGTGGCTTTCAAAGGTTTTTTTTTTTTAAAAAACTTTATCTAAGGGGCAGCTAGGTGGTACAGTAGATAGAGCACCAGCCCTGAATTCAGGAAGACCTGAGTTCAAATCCAGCCTCAGACACATAACACTTACTAGCTGTGTGACCCTGGGCAAGTCACTTAACCCCATTGCCTAGTGCAAAAACAAAAACAAAAACAAAAAAATACTTTATCTAAAACCTATGATTGAGACTGATTGATTAAGCATCTTATCACTTACTTTAAGTCGATTTACTTAATCATCACATGTTTACAATAATATGATCTACTTTATCGAAATATTTGCCATAATCTAGATAAACTATACCCATAGCATGCCCCTATTTAGTCCTCCATTAAGAAGGAGAAGGAGAAGGAGAAATAAGCAAAGAGGATAGAAAGAAAGAAAGAAAGAAAGAAAGGACGGAAAGAAGGAAGGAAGGAAGAAGAACCTGTGGTTAGTTAGCTTTACATAACTTGATCCTGATGAAGCCATGCTGGTTCTTTGTAATCACAGCTTCCCTGTAGAGAGCTTTGCCAACCACTTTTTAATGATCCATTCTAGAATTTTCCCAAGATTCAAAGTCAAACTCATTGGTCTATAGTTTGCAGACTCTGGTTTTTTTTTGTTGTTGTTGTTGTTGTTGTTTTTAAATAAAGACACTACTTACCCTTCTCCAGTCTTGTGGTCTCTCCCATTTTCCATTGTTTTCAAGTACAATAATAATAGCTAACATTATATAACTCTTACTATGTGCCAAACACTATGCTAAGTGCTTCACAATTGCTCTTTCTTTTGATTCTCACAACAACCCTAGAAGGTAGATGTCATTATTATCCCCATTTTGCTGATGAAAAATTGTGGCAAACAGAAGTTAAGTGACTTAAGCAGGGTCATGCAATAGGGCTTCCTAATTAAAGGCCCCGCTCTTCATCCATTGGCCAAAGAAGCTGCCTCACATATTACTAACAGCAGCTCAGTTATCATCTATACTAGTTTTTTTTTTCAGGTCTCAAAGCTAGGTGACTCTAATTCATCAAAGACAACTAACTATTTTTTAATACCTCCTTATTTATATCCTATGTATACCAGCATATTCATAACAATGTTTTTTTGTGATATTAAAGTAAAACAACACCCCCTTCCAAAACTAGAGAGGTATCTGTTTACAGCTAAATAAATTGAGATTATATGAATGTTATGGAATTTTACAGGCGTCAGCTAGGTGGTACAGTGGATAGATTGCTGGGCTTGGAGTCCTGGGCCTCAGACAAGTACTAGCTATGTGACCCTGGGCAAGTCACTTAACCCTGTTTACCTCAGTTTCCTCATCTGTAAAATGCGTTGACCTAGGAAATGGCAAACCACCCTTGCCAAGAAAACCCCAAATGGTGTCATGAAGTATGAGACACAAACGAAAAACAACAAATGAACTATTATTATGCCTTAATAAATGACAAATATGAGGAATTCAGAGAAACACAGCAAGATTTGTATGAACCAATGTAATGTGAAGTAAGCAGAACCAGGAGAATAAAATACAAAATATAATTATTAATATAAGTGAAAACAATACTAAAGTGATGTCATAGTATATGTAAATGGTCAAAGAGAAGAGATGAAGAAATGTGCCTCTCTCATTTTGTTGAATATTTGGGGGCATGGGGAGATGGGATAATGTGTAAAGTGGCAGATAGTCTCTTTGACAGTTGATTGTTTATCTCTTGGTGATAAGGGAAGACTCACAGGATCACAGGAGAAAGCAGGATATTTAGAAATGACTATGATGTAATAATAAAAGGCATAAATAAATTGTATTGTTATTTTCTTTTTTTTTTAAGGCAATTGGGGTTAAGTGACTTGACTAAGGTCACACAGCTAGTGTCTGAGGCCAGATTTAAACACAGGTCTTCCTGACTCCAGGGCTGGTGCTCTATCCACTGTGCCATCTAGCTGCCCCTAAATTGTATTATTTTAAAAAGCATAACCCTCCTCCCCCAACACACACACACACACACACACACACACACACACACACACACACGTGTTTATCAGTCCATTTACCCCTGTAGCGGAGAATGCATAGAAAATACTCCGTGGGTTGTTATATTTGTTCCTTTGGTGCAAATTCTAAAAAATAAGAAAATTTACACAGTAAATATTTCTTCTTCGTATTGTTTAAAAATCCCATTTCTCCCCTGAAACAAAACCCTTCACATGAATTTTTTTAAAACAATATTCAGTTGTAATTAAAAGACTTCAAAAGAACCTTAACAAGTCTATACTGTATAGTCCATCTTCTGCCTTCAAGACCCTTGACTTAGAAGTTGCAACTTTATCCAGTCCTTAAAGACATAACTAAGAGATTCCACAAAATACTTCTGTAATTATGTTGGCACATTGAACTACCCACATCATCAAGAAGTTCATCCTTGTATCTAACAGAAATCTTCCAAGCTGTAGTTTTAGACTATTTTCCCCACCCCCTTTGTTTTACTTAAAACGGAGACCATGGCTTATTGTCTTGGAGGATGGTGATTATTGTACAGAAGATAGAGATCAGCTCAGACATAAATATTTTTAACTTGATTTGACTTTTAAATTGTCTATAAAATATGTGTGTTGGTAGGTAGAGTTTTTTGGTAAACTAGATTAGAGAACATTGGCAAAAATGTTACTGTTAATGATAATTATCCTCATGTTAGCAGCATAACTGAATACTTTAACATTTTTATTTCCTTAAGAGTTTATAAACTGTAAACATTAAACAAATTAACAGCAACAAAAATAAAGAATAGTGGAATATTTAAACATGGAGTACTTTTGGGGATTTGTCATGATAAATTAAATTTTGTATAGTAAAGAAACAGTAGAGTAGAGGTTATATAGAAAAGGAAAGTGAGGAAATGATTCCAACTACTGACATTCTACAACAAGAGAAGATGTGTAATTAAAGGTTATAAAAAGAACTATTGAGTAATAGCTAATAATAATACCAAGCATTTATATAGTGCTTTAAGGTTTGCAAAGTGGTTTGCAAATTTGATCTCATTTTATCCTCACTTTTACCCTGGGAGCTACTATAGACAGATAGTCCATTTAAAATGTAGGTTCTAGACTTTATTAGATCCATCTATGAGTTTACCCCATCTATTATTACTTTACATGCATTTTCTTGGTATGATATCTCTTTAATTCACTCTCCTCTGTTCTCAGGTCTTTTCAAGATTATGACTGATAGAATACCATATCATACCATGGATGACATTACAAGAGCAGTTTATATTGGTCCAAACCGGCTAAGTCACCCTTGCTTCTACCATCAGAAGGATATAAACTTGGGGAATCTCACCATCAGCCCTGGTGAACCCATCATGCTCAATTCCATTGAAGAGATCAATGGGGAAATGATGGTGAACTGTGGAGTGGTAAGGGACAATCAGAATCATTCATTTACCATTCCCTTGTCACAAGAAGGAGAGTTCTATGAGTGTGAAGATGAACATATGTACACCCTAAAAGAGATTGCAGAGTGGAAGATTCCCAAGAGCAGGAAACGGATTGTGAAATTTACAGATATTTCCAATAAGTGGAACTCTGTTTATCCACTACCTAAGGATTTTGATGGCTTGCTTAGTCTCACACCCATCTATGAAATACAGGCAGTGATGAAATGTAAGTATTTACTGAGGCTAACGTCCTATGAACGTGGACACGATGTACATCAGTGCTACTAAGCAGTCTCTAGGATGAACTATAATTTAGAAGTAAATTACAATGGAAAAAAAAAACAATTCAAGTATATAGAGCACCATGTTTAACATGGGAAAAGATAAACAGACATAAGAAATGATTCTATGCATTCACTGATTACAGTCTGATGGAGGGGTCAGAATAATACACAATATAAAGTAGAACTAGATAAGTAGAAAGGAAAAGTACAGAGTACTATTTTGAGGTATGAAGTGGGAAAGAGAATTTTTTAATTTGGGGCACTAGAGAAGGCCTCATGGAGGAGGTATCTTTTTTTTTAAATTTATTTTGATTTATCAACAATCACTTCCATATGCTTTTGAGTTTAAAATTTTTCTCCCTCTCCCTTCCCACCTCCCTCCCCAAGACGGTGTACAATCTGATATAGGCTATACATATACGTGAGGAGGTATTATTTGAGTTGGTTCTAGAAGGTCAGATCAGAATTCAAGAGGTTGAGATGGGGTTGGAGGGGACACACAACTAGGTGAGAAACATTTTTGTTTGCTTTTCATGTCGCTCCATAATCTGGCCCCATATGGCTTTGTTTGAACTGCCCCCATGCCTAGAAAGCACTCCGTCTTCATCTCTGCCTCTTAGAAACTCTGGCTTTCTTCAAAACTCAGTCACAGTACCTTGTCTATATAAAGTACCTTAACTTATATATAGATACCTTACCTATATAAGGTAAGACTTTTCCAGATTCACTGCACACTTAACTACTATCATGTACCCTCGACAAAAATTACCTAGTATTTATTGTTGTTCGGTTGTGTCTGACTCTTCATGACCTCGTTTGGGGTTTTCCTGGCAAAGATACTGGAGTGGTTTGCCATTTCCTTCTCCAGTTCATTTTTCACAGATGAGGAACTGAGGCAAACAGGGTTAAGTGACTTGCCCAGGGTCACACAGCTAGTAAATGTCTGAGGCTGGATTTGAACTCGTGAAAATTAGTCTTCCTGACTCCAGACCCACCACTCTATCCACTGTGCCACCTAGCTGCCCAACCTAGAATTTACTCTGTATATATTTTATATTCACATATATGTATACATGTGTTTTTCATGATAGGATATAATCTCCTTGAGGACATGGACTATTTCATTTTGCTTTTGTATCACCAGCAACTCACATAGTTGATCAGTGGATTCAATCAACAAACATAATGGCAGCTAGGTGGCATAGTGGATAGAGCTCTGGACTTGAGGTCAGGAAGATCTCAGTTGAAGTCTGACCTCAGTTACTTACTAGATGTGTGACCCTAGGCAAGTCACCTTTATCTCAGTCTGCCTCAATTTCCACATCTTTAAAATGGTAATAATAATGGCACATACTTCACAGAGTTGTTACTAAGATACAGTGTCCCAAAAGCAGGAATGTGTGGGAGCCAACTAGAACTAATTCTAGTCAATTGAAAGCTTTTAGCTTGAGTGTTTACACCTCAGAAATTGGAGAAGATGTGAATAATGTTGATTAAACCTAAAAGTATGTCTTGATTACATTTTTTCCCCCCTGGAGAGCCAGGCGTTAAAAACTTACCATCACACCCCTGCCTGAAAGTCTTAGTGCAGACTTTTGGGGCACCACTCTGTATTTGCAATATAAAATATAAATGCTTGTTGTTGTTAAGCATCCACTATATGTCAGTCACTGGGACTGTGCTGAGAACATTAATACAAAAAATGAAATAACTCTTATACTCAAGATACTTACATTCTCAAGGAGCACAGTTCCTAGAACACAGAAGGTACTTAATATAGGCTTCTTGATTGATTAATTTCTAGCTTCACACATGCCCCAGTTCTGACCAAACTAGATTGTGGTATTGTTTCCTGAACAAAATTCTCTGCTGTCCTGACTAAGGTTTCGATTCATCTCCCTACCTAGAATACCTAACCTTTCATAATTCAACTCCACCCCACTTTTAAAATTCTACCCATCCTTCAAGGTTTTATCGACTAAATATGGTATTTATCTATTTCTTGTATCTATTTGTGCATTTTTCAGAACTATTTTGGTACTTATCCCTCAATTAATATATTACTGTTGTTCAGTCATTTCAATCATGTCTGATTCTTTGTGACCCCATTTGGGGTTTTCTTGGCAAAGATACTGGAGTGGTTTCCCATTTCCTTCTCGGGCTCATTTTACAGATGAGAAACTGAGGCAAAAAGAATTAAATTACCTGCTCAGGGTCACACAGCTAGTCAGTGTCTGAGGCCAGATTTGAACTTGGGAAGATGAGTCTTCTTGACTTCAGGTCTGGCATTCTATCCACTGTGCCACCTAGCTGCCCCCAACTAATATATAGGTTTCTTTAAAATCAGGACTACAACTTACTCATCTTTTTATCTTCTGCAGCACTTCGCATATTGCCATGTATACAGTAGGTACTAAGTTTCTTTGATACCCTTCAGTGTCTTTTTATGTGCCCCTTTCCTATATTAGTGTCTTCTATCTATTCTCAAGACTTCTGATGTTCTTGTACTAGTATTAGACTTTCTTGTCCTCAAGGAAAATATTTTAATGAAATAAGTTACCCTAAGATATTATTAGTTACAATTTCAAAGAGTTAGTTTAAAAGAGAATTGAATGGAGGAAACTGTGCTTATCTGAAAGGAATGACTCTCTAATAGTTGAATGTCAGGGTCTGTTATCTGGATAGGATAGATTCTTTTGGGAAAAGAAGCCTGTTGGCAATTTTAAAATGGACATTCCTACTTTGCTCTAGCATAAGCTTGTTGATGATTTCTTGAATATTATTGAAAAAATTTTGAAAAATACAAAATAATTGGTGAGAACACTTTCTGGAGGTTTTAAATTGTGAGAGTGTCAAAAAATGTTACATATCTACAATTATTCAGCTAGAACGGATGATAAGAAATCTATTTGAAAGGGGTTGTATTTTAGGAAATCATGAATTTGCCTCAGATAAAAACAGGATTTCATACAAGAGCTTATTATTTAACATGAGAGGATTCTGAAATTACAGGAAAATTTTACCTAGAGTGGCCAAAGAATGAGGTAATTTGGTTAATTGAGGGGTTAAGAGTGGCAGAATAGTTGAATTTGAAGGATTCTTAAAGGTTCAGTAATCTAGCTCACCACCTGATGCAAGTTGACCTCTTTTGTCTTATTGAAAATATTAATAAAATAAATAATCCACATTCCTGCCTTAGTAAATACAGGATTAGGAGCATATTCCAATCTTCCTTTGATTCAAGGTCTTACAGTGTAATAATTCAGGACATCAATTCCCACTGTATAGTAATATAGGTATTGTGACAGTGTAAGATATGAATCTGATTTCATACTTACTCTAGCTTGAAGCTAGGGGAGTATTTTTTCTTCTCTCTTCTGTCCTCCTCCCCTTCTGCTCTCCTCTAAAATCTTAATATTATTGTATTTCTATTCTCTTTCATTCGATCTTAAGGTCGTGGCTCTGAGGACCCGGGGACTTTAAAAACCATTTAGCTCATTTTACAGATAAGAAAAGTTAGATTCAGAGAATTTAAGTGACTTAGCCATGATCACACAACCAGTAAATATCAGAGACAGAATTTGAATCTAGGTGTTGTTAATTCCAAGTTCAGTATTGTGCCACACTACCTCTCCAGTTAATTTATTTCTTTATTACATCTACCCCCTCAAACCAACAGTTGCAGCTGAAATTGGACTCATGGGGAAAATGTGAAGGTGTCTTTTTTTTTTCTCTCAGCACCAGGAAGGCTGCAAGCATTCAATAAATATTTATTTAACAAGAGCTATGCCCTGGGAAAGATACAAAAATGAACAACATGTGACCTCTACCCTCAAGAGACTAAAATTCCAATAGGAGAGGTAAGGGATATACAGGAACAATTATTGTACAAATTAAAACATGATGAATGCATAAGGTGATAGGAGTTCAAATTAAGAGGAGTGTCAAAAAAAGGCTGGAGGAATCAAGGCAGGGTTCATGGAGGAGGTGGTGCATGAGGCGGGCATGGAAAGATGGGTAAGATTTCAACTAAATGAAAGGGGTGGTTAGGGCATCCAGACATCAGAAATGGTATGAAAATGCAGGATATGTACAGTAGATAGTTAGCATTACAGTTTATTTTGCCTACTGAATTCAAGGAAAATGGAGTGCATGGGGGACTTCATTTAAAGTAACTGGGGAACAGAGGGGACCATAGGAACTCTCAATTTTCCCCTCTTGTGGGCTGAAATAGATGGAGAACTAAATGAATTAGATAGAAATTCATGAACTAGCTATGAATATTAAATATGAACTAAAATATAAGTTAATGCAGGACAGTGAAATCTCAGGGATATTGACCATAATTAGTAATTTATACTAAATAAGTAACTGATGTTAGGTCATCACTTCACTTTATTTCCTTTTTTTTTTTAAATTTTTTAATCCAGATCTATGATTTCATGCACATAGGGAACTCCCAGTGTGGAAACTGTTCCCCTATATTAATCAACAACCCTTGAAATTTGTAGTTTTAGAGAGTTGCCTGGGGTAATAAAAGGTCCTCCTGACTCCAAGGTCAGCCTTCTCTCAACTATATCATCATGTCTCTTACTTCAGCTAATTTAGGTGGCATAAAAGTGAAAAATTGCCAAAATAGTTCATGAAAAACAATTTCCTTGCACTGGATCCATGTGTCATTAAAGACTGAAAAACAGTAACTTAACTTTATTAATTTGTGCCACACTTATGAACGTATCCTTTTGAGGCACGATTCCATAGCTATTCATAGGCCTTTTGAGATCTGGGTGCTTTAAGAGATAATTCTTTGTCCACGTAATAAGATTACTTTATAGCTGGTAATCTAAGACCTCTGGACCTTGCCATCTACTCCAGTGATGAACACTTAGGACTCCTGGGCTTCCTATCCACCCTGCAGCTGAACTGGTTTTTTTACGCTTCA